AGCCCATTATACAGAGTGAAGTAAGCCAGAAAGATAAAGAACATTACAGCATACTAACACATATATATGGAATTTAGAAAGATGGTAATGATAACCCTATATGCAAAACAGAAAAAGAGACACAGATGTACAGAACAGACTTTTGGACTCTGTGGGAGAAGGCGAGGGTGGGATGTTTCGAGAGAACAGCATCGAAACATGTATATTATCTATGGTGAAAAAGATCACCAGCTCAGGTTGGTAAATGAGACAAGAGCTCGGGCCTGGTGCACTGGGAAGACCCAGAGGGATCGGGTAGAGAGGGAGATGGGAGAGGGGATCAGGATGGGGAATACTTGTAAATCCATGGCTGATTCATGTTAATGTATGACAAAAACCACTACAATATTGTAAAGTAATTAGCCTCCAACTAATAAAAATAAATGAAAAAATTTAAAAAAAGAAAAAAAAAGAAGAAATGTAACCAGGGATAAAGAGGAACATTTCATAATAATAGAGGAATCAATTCATGAAGAAAGAATATAATCTTAACAGTGTGTGTGTGTGTGCTGAGTTGCTTCAGTCGTGTCTGACTCTGTGTGATCCAATGGACTGTAGCTCTCTAGGCCCCTGTGTCCGTGAGGATTCTCCAGGCAAGAATAGTGCAGTGGGTTACTATGCCCTCCTCCAGGGGATCTTCTCTACCAAGGGATGGAACTTGAGTCTCTTACGTCTCCTGCATTAGCAGGCAGGTTCTTTACCCCTAGCGCCACCTGGGAAGCCCTGTAACTCTAATAAAGAGTTATAAAAACAGAGCTAAAAAACATAACACCAAGAGCAATTCATTGAAAATCCTCAACATCAGTGTGTGTTGTTAGTTGCTCAATCGTGTCTGGCTGTGACTCCTTTGTCTATGGAATTTTCCAGGCAAGAATACTAGAATGGGTTCCCATTCCCTTCTCCAGGGGATCTCCCCAACCCAGAGATCAAACCCAGGTCTCCTGCATTGCAGGCAGATTCTTTACCATCGGAACCACCAGAGAAGCCATTCAACATCATTAGTCATTAGGAAACACAAATCAAAACTACAATGAGATACAACCACAGGCTTGTTAGAATGGCTAAAATTTTGAAGTCTTACTACATGCTTGTAAGAATGTGAAAGAACTAGAAGTCTCTAACAGTTCTGGTGGAAATAAAAAATGGTAAATCACTTTGAAAAAACAGTTTATTTCTTAAATGTCCACTTATCATATGATCCAGTCATTTCACTCCTATGTATTTACTCCCCCCAAAATTAAAGCATTTGTATATAAGACTTCTACACAAATCCTCATGGTAGTTTTATTTATAATATCCCCTCCACCCCTGCCAAAGAAAACCCACCTGTCCATCAACAGGTGAATATTTAAACATACAATACAATGTGTGTTTTCAACAGACTATGACTACACAATAAAAAGTAATGAACTATTTGATAAATAACACAACATAGACAAATCTAAAAATAATTTTTCCCCCCGAATGAAAATTGCCAGATCAAGGAAAAAAGAGTGAAAACTGTATGGTACCATTTCTATAAAATTCCAGAAAATATAAAGTATAGTTACTGAAAGCAGATGAATTGTTTCCTGGGGTGGGAGGAAGGAAGGGAAGGATGGAGGTATTCTAACAGGATAGAGGAAAAACTTTGAGAGTGATGCATATATTCATTGTCTTGACTTTGATAATGGTTTCATGTGTATATATACATATATGTCAAAATTTGTCAAAATACACACTTTATGTGCAGCCTACTATATGCCAACTACTCTTCAATAATACTATTTTTAAAAATTAGAGAAAGCATGTGTAGTGGGATATTGGGCAAAAAAGGATTTGGCATTTACCACCAACACCACTAACCCCACTGGCATTTACTCTGTAATTCACTTCACTTTTAGCCATTTACATTTTTCATCTCATCAGCCAAAGCACTGAGATAGGGGGAATATGGGAAAGGTGTTAGAGAATAATTCTTGGGATAGGCATGTTGCTTGTTTGAGTTAAGACTGGCATAGGCAACAAACTGCTCCATAGTACTAGTATATACTTATATCCACTGATTTTTACTTGTAATTAGGGAAGATGAGAGCAGTTGGGTTGAGTTTAGGAATCAAGAAGAACCGAAAGGACAATGAAGACATGGAAAGGGTTGGTGCACGCTGAACCCCACTACGTCCCTTGTCCTTGGTTTGGCCCCTGATGATTAGGGTCAGTGGTTGGAGAAGCTCTTCTACTGTGAGATTTTGTATACAAACACTATTGCTTTATAGTCTAGATACACAATATGTGGTATGGATTCAGAGAAAATAGGCCCGTTCTGCTCATGCTTGTATAGAATCCAGTGCCTCTTGAGTATTCTGAAGTTTGATAGCTTTGGGCTCAAGGATAACTGGGGGGATAACACCCTTGGCACAGATGGTGGCATCATAATTGGGCANGTCAGTGGTTGGAGAAGCTCTTCTACTGTGAGATTTTGTATACAAACACTATTGCTTTATAGTCTAGATACACAATATGTGGTATGGATTCAGAGAAAATAGGCCTGTTCTGCCCATGCTTGTACAGAATCCAGTGCCTCTTGAGTATTCTGAAGTTTGATAGCTTTGGGCTCAAGGATAACTGGGGGGATAACACCCTTGGCACAGATGGTGGCATCATAATTGGGCAATGTCAACAGTGGTGGTGGTGAGATTCTTTTAGGTGGCTTTGAGAGCTTTGGGGGCTGAGGCAAAAGGACACACATACTGACGACTATAGCTAACAGTCATGTCTAAGCACATATATGAGGACTCCTCGGAGGCTTCCAGAAAATTTTGCAAGGGACTGGTGGAGGTTTTGTGAGTAGAAGGTAGAATAAGAATAAGATCTTAAATTATTTATATTAATGTGATTTCTTTTAAATCCATAAACTCAAATTTTCTGTTAATATTAAAGTTATACACTATTAACCTGGGCTGAAGTAAGGAGCTAGGAAAAAAGAAGGGAGATAGAAAGGACAACTCATTGTGGTTTTCCCCATATACTGTCTTGCTTTTTGCTTCATTTTGTTCTTTTCCATCAACCACCTTTCCCTTGCTGCCATAATTATGGATCATGTTGGCTTACTGCCAAGAAATAATGGCATCACCATTAAATAGCATTTAATAGCTATTAAACAGCATCACCAGCTCAATGGACATGAATCTGAACAAACTCTGGGAAATAGCGAAGGACAGGGGAGCCTGGTGTTCTGGAGTCCATGGGGTCACAAAGAGTTGGACACAACTTATTGACTGAACAACCACCACAACAAAGGTTAACCTGGGCCATTTCTTAACTAAGAAAATTCATCAAATGGTCCTCTTACAGACAGTCCAGTTTAGAAATGTAAAAANGGGGTCACAAAGAGTCGGACACAACTTATTGACTGAACAACCACCACAACAAAGGTTAACCTGGGCCATTTCTTAACTAAGAAAATTCATCAAATGGTCCTCTTACAGACAGTCCAGTTTAGAAATGTAAAAACCTTGCAAAAGAAAATGCGATATATTCTGGCTCCCATTTTAATCTGTTTTCTTCTAAGAACAACAAATGCCAGGGAGTTCAGGGTCATAACAGACAATATTGAGAGTCTAGTGATCACATGCCAGCTAGGAAACATGGTATTCAGTTTCTAAGCCCTGAGTGTGTTGCTGCTGTTTACTTGAATCTGGGGAAGGGCTGAAGTTTGAAAAAAGCTACCCAGTACCCCTGATTCCTGTCTTCAGTTCATAGCCACTGCTTTTGAGATCTTCCTACATCTCAGTAAACAATGTGAAGCACCTTAATGTACATACTTTTACCACAGTATATACTTAAGTATATATCATAGTATATACCATAGCAAATGTGTTTAGTGCAGCAAACCTTGAAAATATGCCAAAGCTTGGCTACCGGGAAGTTCACACATAGACATAGTGTTCAATTGCAGAAACCTAGTTTCCCCAAATTCTTGGTATATTTATCCCTCCTCTTCCTATGTGTGGTTTATGATCTCTGTTATTTTTGAACTGACTTGTCACATGTCTGATTTTATTTCATGTTGCTCCATATCCTTTATAGAAAATGTTGTAAATAGGCACTGCATCTAAAAGCAAATTAACAAATACATTCACAGACTTCATTCAGTCTGAACCTAGAATTATTTCAACATTGATTATTATAATTATTCTACTTTACCTCATGCTTTTCAATAATCATTTCATCAAAAATGTTGATATATATACTATCTTTTATTTTAGATAAACTTGAGAAGTTACAATCATGTCCTGGTAAGCTGTAAATAAGAAAACATATTCAGATGTTTAATTATTTTATAAAATCATTATTCATAAAGGACTATAAAATTACCTGTTATTTTCTTTTATAAAGTGTAAGCTAAGAAAAGCTATGTGTTTTCAAGATGACTGTTATCTTTCATTAGACTCAGTATCAAAAAATCTACAGACAATAAATCCTGGAAAGGATGTAGAGAAAAAGGAACCCTCCTACACTGTTGGTGGGAATGTAAATTGGTACAGCCACTATGGAGAATGGCATGGAGGTTCCTTAAAAATCTAAAAATAGATTTGCCATATGACTCGGCAATCCCACTTATGGGCACATACCCAGGTGTGAGCACACGCTAAGTTTCCTCAGTTATGTCCAACTCTTTGCAACCCTATGGAATGTAACCCACCAGGCTCCTCTGTTCATGAGATTCTCCAGGCAAGAATACTGGAGTGAGTATCAATTCAGTTTAGTTCAGTTGTGTCTGACTCTTTGCGACCCCATGGCCTGCAGCACACCAGGCCTCCCTGTCCATCACCAACTCCTGGAGCCTACTCAAACTCGTGTCTATTGCGTTGGTGATGCCATCCAACCATCTCTTCCTCTGTCATCCCCTCTCCTCCTGCCTTCAATCTTTCCCAGCATCAGGGTCTTTTCCAATGAGTCAGTTCTTCGCATCAGGGGGCCGAAGTATTGGAGCTTAAGCTTCAGAATCAGTCCTTCCAATGAATATTCAGGGTTGATTCCCTTTAGGATGGACTGGTTGGCTCTCCTTTCTGTCCAAGGGACTCTCAAGAGTCTTCTCCAACACCACAGTTCAAAAGCATCAATTCTTTGGCATTCAACTTTCTTTATAGTCCAATGCTCACATCCATATCTGACTATTGGAAAAACCATAGCTTTGACTAGACAGACCTTTGTTGGCAAAGGTCTCTGCTTTTTANTGTGAGATGAGTGCAATTGTGTGGTAGTTTGAGCATTCTTTGGGATTGGAATGAAAACTGGCCTTTTCCAGTCCTATGGCCACTGCTGAGTTTTCCAGATTTGCTAGCATATTGTGTGCAGCACTTTCACAGCATCATCTTTTAGGATCTGAAATAACTCAACTGGAATTTCATTACCTCCACTAGCTTTGTTCATAGTGATGCTTCCTGAGGCCCACTTGACTTCATATTCCAGGATGTCTGTCTCTAGGTGAGTGATCACACCATCGTGGTTATCTGAGTCATGAAGATCTTTTTTATATAGTTCTTTGTGTATTGTTTCCACCTCTTCTTAATATCTTCTGCTTCTGTTAGGGCCATACCATTTCTGTCCTTTATTGTGCTCATCTTTGCATGAAAGGTTCTGTTGGTATCTCGAATTTTCTTGAAGAGATCTCTAGTCTTTCCCATTCTATTGTTTTCCTCTATTTCTTTGCATTGATCACTGAGGGAGGTTTTCTTGTCTTTCCTTGCTATTCTCATCAAAACCCATAGAACATACAAGGCTGCCCAGGTAGCATTAGTGGTAAAAAATCTACCTGTACTGCAGGAGATGTGGGAGATGCAGGTTCGACCCCTGGGTCAGGAAGATCCCCTGAAGGAGGGCATGGCAAGTCATTCCAGTATTCTTGCCTGGAGAAATCCCATGGACAGAGGAGCCTGGGGGGGCTATAGTCCACAGGGTCACAAACAGTTGGACATGACTGAAGCAACTGAGTACATACGCATAGAATGTACAACACAAAGAATGAATTCTAATGTAAACTGTGGACTTTGTCTCATAATATGTCACCACTGGTCCGTCTCATAAGAAATGTACCACGCTGACACTTAGGGAAGCTGTGTGTGTGTGTGTGTGTGTGTGTGTGTGTGCGTGTGTTGAAGGGAGAGGATATGTAAGAATTATGCTTTCTGCTCATTTTTACTAGGAACCTAAACTCTCTAAAAATGATAAAGTCTATCAATTTGTTTAGAATGGAAGAAAAGAAACTCAATTTCATTAGAAATCCAGGAATGTAAGTTAAATCACAGTAAGAATATCACTTAAGATCCACCATATTAGAAAAATTAATTTTAAAAATTAAATATTATTGAAGATGTGGCACAATAGGAACTTTTATACTGAGAGTGTATATTGGCACAATCACTTTGGTAAAAAAATTGACATTACGTAGTAAAGTTGAAGCAATTCCACTCCTGGATATGGATCCTGGAGCAGAGGGTCTCAAAGTGTCTCCTGACTAGTAGCATCAGTAACACCTGGAACTTGTTAGAAATGAAATTATGGTATCAGGCCTACTCTAGAGTTACTGAATTAGAAACTATGGAGTTGGGCCCAGCAATTTGTTTAAAGAAGCCACACAGGTGATTTCAGTGCACAAAACAGCTTGAGAACTACTGTCTTTAAAAGAAACTCTTAGATGTGTGCTCCAGATAACAAGTACAAGAATGTTCAGAGCAAAACTATTCATAATATCAAAACACTAAAACCAGGCAAATGTGCATCAACAGGATAAAAAAGAAATAAATTATGGCATTTTAACACAGTGGAATACTATAACGAAGTGAAAATGAAGGAAGGAATAGTTATGAATATGGATAAATCTCTCAAAATAATGAAAAGTAAAGAAACAGGTTGCAAAAGATAATTCAATTTATATACAGTTGAAAAGCATCCAGAAATAAATAAAACATAGCTAGGGATGAATATCTATGATTTAAAATCATAAAGAGAGGGAAGGATAAACACAAGGCTAACATGGTTTTTATCTCTGGGGAAAGAGGAAGGGGATACAGTTGGGTATTGGCACAGCGGAGCCTTCAAAGTTACTGGCAACACTCCATTTTTAAAGCTAAATGGTAGATACACAAATATTCATTTTCCCTCAGAACTTATATTTACATATATACTATATAGGGGCTTCCCTGCTTACTCAGTGATCAAGAATCCGCCTGCAGTGCAGGAACCACAGGAGACACGGATTCAATTCTTGAGTCAGGAAGAGCCCCTGGAGGAAGGCAGGGCAACCCATTCCAGTATTCTTGCCTAAAGAATCCCACGGACAGAGAGGCCTGGTGGGCTAGAGCTCACAGGGTCACAAAGAGTCAGACATGACTGAGCGACTTAGCACACACACATACATTATCTATGTAAACACACTTCATAATTAAAAAACTTAAAAATTAAGCCTGTATCAATCATTTTCAATAAATGGCTCAAGAAAATAATTCTGTTATTGGTTTATTTTAGAAGTCAAGGAAAGGGGGGACCGGGATGGGGAATACATGTAAATCCATGGCTAATTCATTTCAATGTATGACAAAAACCACTGCAACGTTGTAAAGTAATTAGCCTCCAACTAATAAAAATAAATGAAAAAAAAAATCCATAGGACAAAAATAAATAAATAATCCACGGGGGGGGGGAGTCAAGGAAAAACGGACTCCAACTTACATAAAATCTACTTTAATTTCTTCATTCCAGCATGGATGAGATCCACTGGCAATGCTGGTTTGGTATACAGTGTGCTGAAAGGAAACCTCCACAAAGGGGTGTACAGTATCCTGAAACACATGATAAACACTGACTAGGTTTTTGTAATACTTTATATAGTTGATAAAAGGTAGAAATTAGTTACTGGCTGATAACTAGATGGTTTGGTTTTTCTAGTTTTTCAAACAACCATTACTTATTCATTCATTCATTCAGTTAAGATTTCATCCTATTTAATATCAGGTATGATCTTGCTAGGATCCAAAAATACATGGATATCATTAAGGATTTTTATCTTAAGCCTGTCAGGAGAAAACAGTTAAGAAAATAATGGCAGTGAAACATAAGAAATATATTCAGGATATAATAGTTACTCAGGAGAGAGGATGATTAAACTTTTGGGGGTGAGGACAAAGAGAACTTCACATAGAACACACTGCATGGGCTTGAGCTTTGAAACATTAAATAGTAGTTCATGTGGCCAGTAAGACATGAACACGAAGTATGGTGGCCATTGCAGGCAACGGAAAGGGCAAGAAGGGAGGACTTCTAGAATGCAGTAGTGTGATATGAGACCGCTGTGGGGTGGAGAGAAACGTGGCTGACTGATTGGTAGATAAGAACCAGATAAATACAGATTTTGGTAGACTTTCTAAGGAGCTTGCATTTTATTCTATAGATCCTGAGGGCAGGGTAGTAGAGAATGAAATGGTTAGAATTACATTTTGTAAACAGCACCATCACTGTGTTATGGAGAGTAAACTAGAAGCCCAAGAGATTAGCGAAGGATAGTCCAGTTAGGGGCCAGTTGCAGTTCAGAGAAAACATGATCAAAACTGCACTTTAGAGAAGTGTTAAATACTTACCTCATTTAAGATTTCATCTGAGGCTAATGATTTGATTGTTTCTTTATGTCTGAGGCGAGACATGGATGATACCAAATAAGTAGGCATACCCAAGGACCTTCAGGAAAAACAATATAGAGACATACACTTTAATTAATTTCAATATTTGTTTTGGTGCGAATAGGTGTGTTTTTGCTTATGCTTATGTGCTGTGTTGTTGGGTTTCTGCTTATGCTTATAGATAGATAAATTAGTTACCCTGGATCTTACTGTTTGCTTTGGGTCTTTATATTGTAGGTGATTATAGATAAATATGTGACAATCACTACTCTGAAAGGGTAGCTCCTCAGTGCTGAGCTATGGATGGGAACCAGTCTGTGGTAAAGTCTTCACTAATCTTCAGCAAAAAGGGGAAAATAGGGTAGGTAATACTGTGAGCTATATTATTCCTATTTTTCGTGTTACAGTATTCTTTCTTTTACAGATTAATTATTGCAGAAACTGAAAGTTGCTCAGTTGTGTCCAACTCTTTGCAACCCCACGGACTATACAGTTCATGGAATTCTCCAGGCCAGAATATTGGAGTGGGTAGCCTTTCCCTTCTCCAGGGAATCTTCTCAACTCAGGAATTGAAGCCGGGTCTCCCCCATTGCAGGTGGATTCTTTACTAGTTGAGCCACAAGGGAAGCCCAATAAGCCCGATTATTGTAGAAAATGGTAGTAATTTTAAAATGTCCTTATTTCACAAAATAGCCTTGAAATGTGCATTTGTTTTGAGAATATCAAGTGTATCATAAATAAAATCATATTTGCAAAACACAGGAAAAACCTTTAAGAGGTTTTAACTGTAGATTAGTAGCTAGTAAGCAAAATGTTTCTCATAGGTAGAATTCATGGGATAAACATAAAATAAGTAAGCAGAGCACACCTGTGTTAAAAGTAGATAGAGATACTCAGTATTCCTTAGGTACCTGGGTGTGAAATATTCACAATATATAAATTATATATGAGATTAAATATATGACACTTGATATTGAGGATATACTAAATATTCAGGATGACTTCATTTGATCATTCTGACCCCACATATCCTCTGCCCAAGAAACATCAATAAAACACATCATTCTGAGTGCCTGCAAAAGAGATGGTAAGATCTGATTTTTATAAGAAGTCACCTAAAATGACAAGTCCAAAATGGAGCCTATTCTCTCCTGTATTCTACTATTCTACTTCCAACACTGTGAGTGGACAGTATAATTGGCAACAGCTGCTTAAGTTTTCAAAATAGGGAATATGGACAGAAGGCATTTATCTAATATAGCACCCAAAAATATACATGTTAAAGATACTTCAGGCATCTCAAGCTTCTGCAAACTTTTACTACATAGCAATGACAGTTAAGTTTGACTATTCAAATGAAGATTTCAACTTTCATTCAGCTTTTGTATGTAGAGCATCAATAAAGTGCAAAGTTTTATTAAAAAGACAGTTTAGAAATTTACATTTAAGATATTTTTTGTAACTCCAAAAATTGGTGCAATTGCCTTACCTATTAACTGTTGTTTTCCTTGTAGGAATATTATAAGCTCTCAGTATTCTGATAAGAATCTTAATATCTCTATCACAGACAGTCTGTGCTGCCACTTTTTTCCTTTCTTTCCTCTGAGGCTTTAACTTTCTTCGTTGTTCAAGAAGCTTACAAACTGCATATGTCAACTGGCTAAAAAGTGGTCAATCAGATTGATATAAAATAACTTAATATTTGAAAGATAACGATTTTTAAAATTTATTATAAATAAG